ATAGAATAGAATAGAATAGAATAGAATAGAATAGAATAGAATAGAATTCTTTATTGGCTAAGTGTGGTTGGACACAGAAGGAATTTGTCTTGGTGCAAATGCTCTCAGTGTCCATAAAAGAAAAGATACATTTGTCAAGAGTCAAGAATCATCAGGTACAACACTTAATGATAGTCATAGGGTACAATAAGCAATCAAATCATACTAGGAAACAGTCAATAAAAATCATAAGGATGCAAGAGACAAAGTTACAGTCATACAGTCACAAGTGAGAGGCGATGGGTGGTAAGGAGTGATGAGAAGGTGAATAGTGATAATAGTGCAGACTTTGTAAATAGTTGGAAAGTGTTGAGGGAAATATTTGTTTAGCAGAGTGATGGTGTTCAGGGAAAAACTGTCCTTGTGTCTAGTTGTTCTGTGTGTAGTGCTCTATGTACGTATTTAGTTTCACTCTTCTTGGAAAATTTATGTTTGCAGTTCGAGATAGAGTCCGCACAAAGATGGAGAGAGATATATTAGTAGAAGTAAATCATCCCTTTATTGTCAAACTGCACTATGGTGAGTATTATTGTCTGTGACTTTGATCAAGGTTTATCCAATTAATGTCTTCATTTCTAGAGTTTGAATGACATCTACTAGCTTGGTTTTAAAAAAAAATGCATACCTCGTATTGTACTTTGAAATCCACAAGCCATTTAAGCAGATTTTTTAAATGTTTTCCATGAAGCTGGATTTATTTAGATAAAAGTTTTTATTATTTACTTAGCATATAGTGTATCATACATGGATAACATTTCATCTAGATTAATAGAATGCAATAAAGTAGGGTTGTTAAAAATATCTGTGTTCAAATGTCTAGGCTAGGGGTGTCAAACTCAATGCTCAGATCTGGCCCACGGTGCCTTTGCCAGTGAAAACAAGCACTGTTTTGCTGGCAGAGGGTTGCAGGAGACCGTCACAGCCGGAAACAGAGCTCGGGAGTGTTCTGACCAAGGCTTCCTGGGACCGCAATTAAGCACATGCTTAGTTAAAACAACTCTTGTTTTATTTCAACGCTGGGAATTACGTTCATTTCCAGCTGGTAATGAGTCGCAAACAGTCCCTCGAGATAAGCACCCACCTTTCTCTCCTTTGAATTGCTGCCAACAACTAAAGTGCCAATTGAATTATAAAAAACCAACCGAAGTACGAAGTCCACACAGAGCTTCAAGGATTAATCTGAACAGAGTGAACAACTTTGCTTCCTGCAAAGGTTTCTCTACCTTTGCACCTCCTTTATACCTTATGGGAGGGCCAATCACCTCCAAGCCTTATTCCCGAGTCGCCCCTTTTGTCTTAACTGTTCTTGCCTTCTGGCAGCTTTGCACACACGTGCACTGGTAACAGGCTCCCCCTGTTCCTTTGCCTTGCTGCTGTCAGATTCTGGAGGCTCCAGAGTCAGCACACAACTCCCAGGTGGCCCTGGCCCCATCTCTGCATCGGATACAGAACCATCGGCCGAGTCGTCTCCAGACTCCCAGATTGGCCCATGATCCTCCCCACTGTCCACCTCTGCTGCCAGCTCCACAGGCCGCTGGCGGACCACAGCAGGGAGCCTGTTTTCGCTGGCAGAGCGCTTGGGCCACCACAGGCACCCCCAACATGAGTGATGTCAAGCTGGCCATGCCCACCATGGCCAGTTCCCCCCCCCCCCCAGGTCAAACACAACCCTGATGTGGCCTTCAGTGAAATTGAGTTTGACACCCCTGATCTAGGCCATCTAACCATTGAGATGCAGCATTGATTTTTAATGTGTGTGTGTGTGTGTGTGTGTGTGTGTGTGTGTGACAGTAAACTGGTATATCCCTCAGCTTACAGCCAGTCACGCAGTCACGATGTGATTGACAGCTTGACATGGGAGCCTGCATGTCACCCACACTGATGGGAGGATACTATGCCCCATTTACACAGAGAGTTCTGGCAGACACCGGCTGAAGTGTGACACCTATTCAGGACGGTCCATTGCTGACCTGGTAGTTCAGAGCCTGCTGTCAGGATTCCAGCAATCGCCCTCATTAAATCATGATTCTCGAGCCAAACTTCAAAAAACTTCAAACATTAGAGGCGACATACTGGCACTGCCCCGTATGGAGCCAACTCTGGCCTATATAATTTACAGTCACCTGTGACCCTGTTTCCCCCCTCCCCTTTTTATGGCAACTACTAAAACAGGCATAGGCATGTTTTATGAGTTGACACCTAGCACTTTTGAGTGGGGTCATTTATACGTCTTCCTATGTCTGGCCATTCGTTGACCCATTTGGCTCTCCATTGGGAATCGGTGGTAAAAGTTGTTGAGCAGTTGTGAAAGTGCCAGTGGGGACTTCCTGGATTTGAGTCGTCCAACTAATAAATGAAGAAGGTCACAAAAAAATGCTGCCTCCCAGTGTAATGCTCTTAAATACGAATAAAGCATTTTGAGTTTTACCTACTTTAAATATGTGGCTATCAATTTAGTATTTTGGTCAAATTCCTCTTCATTGGTGACAGGAAGGGCATCAGCTCCATTCAGTTGCCCAGATTCCACCCTGCAAGGGATTATGGGTGAAGAAGAAGAAGAAGAAGAAGAAGAAGAAGAAGAAGAGGAAGAGGAAGAGGAAGAGGAAGAGGAAGAGGAAGAGGAAGAGGAAGAAGAGGAAGAGGAAGAAGAAGGGGAGGAAGAGGAGGAGGAGGAGGAGGAGGAAGAGGAGGAGGAGGAGGAGGAGGAGGAGGAGGAAGTTGTTTATAGAATTCCTCGATTGATTCCTCTTGCCTTGAGTAGTTAAAAGTTTAGAGCCCTCAAATGTCTCATATGATTAGGATATATTATTTAGTGTTTTATCTATGCTTCATATCTGTTGTTGCACAAAACTGATTCATATTTTATGGCTGCTCTTTACAGCCTTCCAGACTGAAGGAAAGCTATATTTAATATTGGATTTTCTCAGGGGAGGAGACGTGTTCACAAGATTATCCAAAGAGGTATGTATTTATGGACCTTTTAAAACATAATGTGAAGTGGTAACCCTTATACTAAGTTTTTGTCTTTGCCTTTTCTTCCAAGAGCTCCATTTTCTCTTTTTTTATATATTTTCAACATCCATATGAGAGGGGACGACTAACTCAAATCCATTTATTTTATATCTTAGTTTCAAATCTGGGTGGTTTTTTTTTTTTCCCTTGCCTAAATCCGGCTCTCTGTCACTATTCAGCAGTGAAGAAACTGGATCAATTTTCCATTAATATCTCTTAACCTAATCTCCCTCCAAATTGCGAGGACAAATTGTGATCATGAAGTTAAGAGGGTGGTATGCTGTTTTTGGCTTTCTGGAGAAAACGCAGGATTGAATAAATAGTTGCCTCCCACAGTGTTATGACTACATAAAAACCATCTTACTCTCTGCTTTTAGAAATGTTTTTTTCCCTTCACTCAGGGGAAAGGTTTCTGTGTAAAAACACAATGAGGTCAAATATATTAATAAGTAAATCATTTCTCACTATGTAAGAAAGTAGTTTTCCCCCCCTCCAGGACTTGTCTTAGAAAGGATGCTAAAAGAAGAAATGCTTCAAAGCACCAGAGTGCACAACCCATATCACCTGATTGCTTTAATGAGACAAGTGCTGGACTCAATTTTTGGGGTGTTCCAAGCATGTTCAGATAATTGCAGAGTTTTGTCTTTTAATGGTTAAGCTCTCACTTTTATTCTTTATGATCTTGGAGATCTTTTCGCCATATGGGATAATTTGAGATACTTAAATAATCTTGTTCATTTGGACCTTTTTCCCATGCAGAGAAATTAGGTATTCTGGACATGTGTCCTTCCAGAGGTCAACCATTCCATTTCCCTTGTAATCATTCATTTGTCATTGATGAGCTGCATCCAAAGGCATGCTCTGAATATTTATTCTTGGAGAACTAATAGTATCAATGTCTGTGGAGATTCTCGGTCATCCAGGTCATGGTTGTGCCAAAGATGCTTTTTTCGAAAGGCAACTGGAATTTGTTTTTTTTTCCTTTGCTTTCCTTTGTTTTCAAGAAAAAGTTGCCTTTGGAAAAAGCACCCTTGGGATAATAGGATCAATGTTGGTCCTTTTTGAATTTGCATATGTATAGTTCCCAGGGGTGGGATGTCAGGGTTCCAGAAATTGTCCGTTTCAATCAGTAACTCAGAGACAAACATATTCTCAAAGTGCTTTATTAATAACAGAAACTTGGCACGTTTGTGAGATTCTGAAACTAAAGGTTCCTCCCAGACTTCCCACAATACTCAGTCAACACCCACCCCTTTTCTCCCACATCATAAATCACGTGAACAAATCACCCTTCAACTACAATTCTTGCTGTGCCATAGAGAATGACCTTGACAGCCTTAGGTATCTATTATGTCTACTGAAAATTATTCAAATAACAACAACCCCCCCCCACTTCCATTCTCCGTAGCTGTGTGGCAGCTTTTAATAGAGATTCCAAAGCTGACATGGGATTCAAATTTCTTAACAATCGGTTCTGTGGGTGTGGCCTAATTTGTGGGTGTGGCTTGGTCATGTGACTGGCTGGGCATGGCTTGTATGTAAATATTGTAAATATTTATGTAAATATTGAATTTTTTATTTAAAAAAAAGAACAACTTTTACCCAAAATCAGGCAAAGCAGGCAAACAGATTGAGTTGCTCACAGAATCACAGATTCACTCAGAGATCTATCTTTCTGCAATCCGCTACCTGAGTCTGCACTGAAAAATAGAAGCTTCAGTCCTAAGGAAGGTTCAGCTCTGCTTTTAGATTAGCTATAAAGCAAGAAATCCAACAATTTCCTGCTTTCCAGCTAATCTAAATCTCCTGGCACAGCAGAACAGCTGATGGCCGGGAAAAAAAGAAGTAAAAATAGCAACTTACCAAACCTGGCAAGTTTGATGGCATGCCAGGTAAGGAGTGAGTGGGAGGGGCAGGGCCAGCCAGTGGCGTGATTTGCCAGTTCTCCGAACTGCGCAGAATCGTAACAACCGGTTCTATAGAACCAGTCTGACCAGGTAGAATCCCACTCCTGGCAGTTTCTTCTTGTGAGTCATCCAAAACCATGGACAACATGCAGTATGGACTAGTGAATTTGCATCGTGGATCTTTAAACATTGTGGGAATTTGCTAATGTCTTTGATGTACAGAAATTTAACCAGACCGGAATGTAAATCTATATAGTTCTTATTAGGTTATGTTTACAGAGGAAGATGTGAAATTCTACCTCGCAGAACTGGCTCTAGCTTTGGATCACCTGCACAGCTTGGGAATTGTATACAGGGACTTGAAGCCAGAAAAGTAAAGTAAAATGTATTTTATCCACTATTACGGTACTCTTATTTAAACCCTTCTTTTGTGTTTGCCATAAAATAAATATGGAATCACTGCTCTAGAGGTGATCCTTGACTTACAGCTTACAAATGAGCCCAAAATCTTGGTTGTTCAGTGTGACCGTTGTTAAGCAAATTTTGCCCCATTTTATGACCTTTCTGGCCACTGTTGTTAAGTGAATCACTGCAGTCGTTAAATTAGTAACACCGTCGTTCAGTGAATCTGGCTTCCCCGTTGATTTTGCTTGTCAAAAAAAAAATGGCAAAAAGTGACCACATGACTCTGGGGCACTGCAACCGTCATAAATGTGAGTCCATTGCCAGTTGCCTGAATTTTGATCACACGACTATGGGGGATGCCGGAAAGGTTGTAAGCTTGAAAAACAACCATAAGTCACTTTTTCAGTGCTTTTGTAACTTGGAACAGTCACTAAACAAATTGTTGTAAGTCAAAGGCTACCTGTACTCTCTCTTTTTTTTTTTTTAACAAAATATGTTTTCAGAAAATTCTTAATTAATTAAATGTAAATACTATAGCATGCTAATTTGCTCAACTGTCTTATTAAAATATTCCTGTTTATGTGCATTGGTGAATGTGGATTTTAATTTTCAGCATTTTGCTTGATGAAGCAGGACATATCAAGTTAACAGGTAGGTGGAACTTATTAGTATAGCTTTTTTTAAAAACAAACAAAACTAAAAATATTTACCTAAATAGACTCAGCTGATTAAAACAGAAGGTATTTTGAAGTGGCTGAAGATGCTGCTGGATAGATTCATCCATCATGTCCTCCTTTATCCCTTCAAATTATTTCTCAACTTTTTGTTGAACAAATGCTACATTCATAAAAAATATATATGTTTATTTCATATTGAGCCTTCCTCCAGTGCCCACTCCAGCTGGCGGAGAATCTGCAAGAGGTGGTCAGAAAAATAAAGAGAGAAGCCACAATGCTTCAAACAAAGTCCCACCCATTATTATTATTTGTTGATTCATTAAGAAAACTTATATGGCTTCCTAACCAGTGGTGGGATTCCAATAATTTAACAAGCAGTTCTCTACCCTAATGATTTCTTCCAACAACCGGTTGTGATGACCCTGATTGTAACACAAATGTAACAAAATCCAAAACGTAAATAAATGTCCTTTAATGCCTCCAACTTGGCCCCACCGTTCCATAATTCTCAGTTGGAGATAAAACTTACTGAAAAATAGTCTTCAAAAGAAAGCAATACAGTCCAAACTTAATGAGCAGATAGAGGTGAAATAAAAAGCCAAACAAACTGCAATGAAGAAATTTCCACAATAGACCAGGATAAGTAATTACCAAATTCAAGGAGATAACAAGGCACACTTTGTTGGAAGGATGCCAACCAAGATAACTTCAGCCCAAAATAAAACACACTTTACTTCTGGCAACTCTGTGTTGTAACCGTCTCCCTTATATACTATTCTCCCCAGCTGCAACTAATGAGGGGGATCATGGCTGCTTCCTCTCTCATAAGCCACGTTGTTCCCTTCTCCATTCCTCCCTGCAGGCCCTAGGATGAAGAGGAGATGGGTCTGGTTCTTCCTCTGACTGCCCAGCTGGCCTCTGCCCTTCCCCACACCTCCACTCCCTGTTGGCTGTTCCTCCTCTCCCTCAGAGTCCGACTCTACGAAGGGCATGACACTAGTTCACCAAACTGCTCAGAAAGTTAACAATCGGTTCTCCTGTAGTGGTGCAAACTGGCTAAATCCCACCACTGTTCCCAACTCATGCATGGTGATACCAGGTGGCTAATAGAAATAAACACTCCAAATATAAAACCCAATAAACCTCACTTTCCTGGTGACAGGAATCAAGCAAACCACTTGATGGGCTCCATATTACCCAGAGCCAATGGCAAAACTATGTCTTTCAAAAGAATATCGAGATGGGAACAAAATATCTCCGTGGGGAGGATGTTCCATAGGGAGGGAGCTACCATGGAGAAGGTCCTTCTTCTTGGTCCCACTAGATCAGGGGTGTTGTTCTGACCCAAACCCTTTTCCAATAAAACAAACACAAACCAAAGCGAACAGAAACCCTTTAATGATTCTTACGAATCCCCAGTTAAAAGGCTGCTGCAAACTAATTAACTTTGATAAGCACAAGCCTCACCAAAAATGTGTGAGGCTGCCCAGAATAACAGATAAGAAATATTTCACAACACAGGAGTCTTCAAATACCAACTAAGATACTGCAATGTCCACGAGGCTGGAGTTTCAAAACCTCTTTGCCTTCTGCAAAGAATGTCTGATTCACAGCTGGCTTTTATCTTCTTGAAGGAGGGGCCATTACCTTGCAGCCTTACTCCCGAGCTGCCTGTGCTGCTGCAACTGCTTTTTCCTGCGAGCAACCCTGCGCGCATGCACACTTGGCACAGGCTCCTCAGGAACCTCCTCATCACTGCTGCCAGTCCCCACAATTTCTGAAGGCAGCAGTCCACTCCCTAATGGTCCTGACCCCTCATCTGAGTCCTCACTCTCCTCAGCTGTCCGCACCTGCTGCCAGCTAACCACAACCGGTGTCAAATTGGATGCGTCTTGTGCAGGCCACGCCCACCCCGGCTCAGCGAATGGGGAAAACGTCACGTGACGGCAACATGATGCCACAAGTTTGACACCCATGCATTAGAGGGACCTCCTTAAGGTGGGGGAAGTGATCTCCACTCATATAGATTGGGTAGGTATAACTTGGAAAAGATGGTCCTTCAAATAACCTGGATCCATTTTTAAGTGTGTTACACATAGACAACAGGTGGAGCATCAACCACAGTGGCTGTCTTCTTGATTTCTCTGACTTCCTCTTGTGAGTACATCTGCCAGCTGGTTGTTGTATTCTCATGTATCATAGCAGTTAAGAGTAACATCGAAGTCTAATGCCTAGTAACAGAACTCTACAGTATGTGCAAAAACAGGCTTGCAAATGCATAATCGTTCACGGCAAAGCTAGAATTTTCAATGTATAACAAAGCAAAAGAACATTTGTTGTTACAAAGCATTAAGCCAGCATTACCTCCCCCTTCAAAAAAGAAAAGAAAAAAACATGACATACATCAATGCTCATTATCAACCATCCGTTTCTCTTTTTGAACAGTAGTCAGGGAGATTGGGGCTCTAATGCTCACATTTTGCCTTTTATGAGAAACAAGAACATCATGTTTTGTAGGTATGTAAAACGAAACCCTGCAAAATGACAATAATACTCTAAAAATGTAGGGAGGGAAAATATCCGGATACCATTCCAGAGTGCTTCAGATTTTAAATGTAGTTTATATCTTCCATCCTTTTATGTTTCTACAGTCTGTTTTTAGTCTATACTTTTCTTGCTAGTTATTTAAAATGAATTATGGTTTAATGTTGTTGATAGAAGAATGACAAGTCTGGATTCATTACAGATGAATCTCTCCCATTCTTTCTGATGAGAAGAGAACTTTGTAAGAGTTTGTAAGAGAACTCAAAGGCAATATCCTTATAATTTAGGGCATGTCAAATTTTTCAACTTTCAATTTCCAAATATTAGGGGTGAAGCTGTGTCTCCCTAAAAGTTATGATATACCTTGGGGATTGTAAATATATTTTGGTTACTTTAATATAATTTAGAATAACAGAGTTGGAAGGGACCTTGGAGGTCTTCTAGTCCAACCCCCTGCTTAGGCAGCAAACCCTATAGCATTTCAGACAAATGGCTGTCCAATGTCTTCTTAAAAGCCTCCATTGTTGGAGCATTTACAATTTCTGGAGGCAAGTTGTTCCATCGGTTAATTGTTCTCACTGTCAGGAAATTTCTCCTTAGTTCTAAGTTGATTCTCTCCTTGATTAATTTCCACCCTTGCTTCTTGTCCTGCCCTCAGGTGCTTTGGAGAATAGCTTGACTCCCTCTTCTTTGGGGCAGCCCCTTAGATATCAGACCACTGCTATCATGTCACTCCTACTCCTTCTTCTCCTAACTACATAAATATCACAATTTTTTAACATTTTGTTTGTTTCATATGATATAAACCTAAGCTTAAACCTTCTTCCATTTAGTTTCTAGCACTTGGTCAATCGCTTGCTTCTCAATGTTTGATTGCGCTAGGGATCAAGCTTCAAATCATACTCCAAAACATTGGTTAAAATTAAAATGAAGCAACTTAAAACATTACAGCTCTCCTAGCTTCTTGCTCGTTCTCTCTCTCTGTTTATTTCTTGAATTTATATAGCTGCCCCACTCATGCATGGGAATCTGGGTGAGGTACACAATGAAAGCTAAATAATTAACCTCATTTCAAACACAACCATTAAAAATGAGTTAAAAGTACTTTCTCAGCCTTTTGGCCCAGACCGAGTGTGCAATTGTACAGTTGTGTATGTTGTACTTTCGGAGACAGCTATTTGGATTTCTTACTCATTTTCAGCTTCTCTGAAATATGTAAATTTTCTCATGTGTTTTTGATTCTTATGGTCATGCTGTTTAGAGTATCTGCTGTGCTTTACGAGAAGCCGTTCCATTTGGATCTGTCAAAAAGTAATAATTGCTTATTTATAACATTTCCTAGACACCAACTGTTAGGGCGACTAATATGTATGTACAATAAAAGCAAAACAAATTCTCCAGTAAGATAATAAAACAACTAATCAAAACAAGTGTTACAACAACAACACTCCCTAAATAGATCACAGAAATGCAATTAATTTAAAACCAGACAGTGGCTTTTAGCCTATTGAAGAAATACTGGTGCTCATTATTCTAATTCTAATTCAGTGCTTAACTACAGGTGGCTGAGACCACATTTTCATGCTGAATGTTGACTAAAAATGACACCTGTGAATTAAGCATGCTTTGAAGAAAAGCTGTGTTAGCTAGCTTGCTGCACTATAGGCTGAAAATATTAAAATAGGGTAAGCAGAAATGAGTGTACAAGCTCCTCTGCTTTTTTGGTGGGGGAGAAAAGATATCGTATATTCAATACATTTGTGAGATGATGCAAAGAGGATTTTGCGTTAAGTTGAAATTCTCCACTCGGAGAAAGATACACAGTTGAAAATTTTAGCTTGGTCTTTGTACTGTTGTATAAATCTGTCACTTGGACACTGGTGGAAGCCACGCAGAGATCAAAGCAGTGTTTCTCAACCTTGGCCACTCTTAAGATATGTGGACTTCAATTTCCAGAATTCCCCAACCAGCCATGTCCACAAATCTTAAAACTATGGAGGTTGAGAAACACCGGCTCAAAGCCCTGGATTGATGGACCTTTCCAGAAACTGGGCTAGTGTTAAATCCAAACTGATTTCCCCCCTTCAAACTTTTCATTGACCCAGTGATGAGACACATTGCTTTGACATGTAGAACTTGTCCATATCTTTACGGGTGATGCTCAATCATAATTTACTTTATCTATAATGCAAGGGTCTTCAAACTTGACAGCTTTAAGACTTGTGGACTTCAACTCCTAGAATTCCTGAGCTAACATGACTGGAGGAGGAATTCTGGGCGTTGAAGTCCACAAGTCTTAAAGCTGTCAAGTTTGAAGACCCCTGCTATAATGTATTCTTCAAACCAAGTTGTAACATCAATGAATCATGAATTCATGTATGGTAACTAGGAAAGGAGAGGAAAGATAGCACTAGGACATTGTTGTGCCATTATGCAGCTTGTGGGTATTTTGGTGGGCTTGCATGGGGCCATTTTAATTGTTTAATTATTTAGTAATTAATTTAAGAGTTCATTGATAGTCATGTCGGGTATCAGCCTACTAAATTTAGATAGCGAAAGGATCACCTGTCACCTTTCACGTCTTTTTGGTGCCTGCAGCAAGGAGAAAATGATGACATGAGCAACACCACATATTGCAAGCTTGGCCTCTTATGTCCTGCATGCAATATTACAATGTAAATGCAAAAGGGCTGGAGTTTCTACCATGACCTATGACTGGATAAGAGATTAAGAACAGATCATGAAGTGATCATGACTTTCCATCATCGCTTCTCATTGGGGTAGGGTTGAGGAAAATAGACTTGTCATGATAGCTGGAGGGCCATCATTGACTCATCTCTAGGAGACGTGACTTACATGCTAATCATCTTCTTTCTATGACTGATGTTTGCTCATAATTTCTTTGCTTGGTATGTCTTTGTGGTGCTGTTTTAGACTTCGGCTTAAGCAAAGAATCGGTTGATCAAGAGAAGAAAGCTTATTCTTTCTGCGGTACTGTAGAATACATGGCCCCTGAAGTTGTGAACAGGCGGGGCCACAACCAAAGTGCTGATTGGTGGTCGTTTGGTGTTCTCATGGTACTGTGCATTAATGGCCTGGTTTTGTGCTGCATGGCATAAGCATTTGTGGCTCACGATGCATGAATGATAGAAGGGAATATTTGCATTTAGCAGGGTTGAACTGTGGAGACTTTGGTGCTCTCTGAGCTTGGTTGTTTTCTTGCAGACATTTCATTACCCTACTAGGTAACATCATTAATAACTATACACACTGATGATGTTGTCTAGTTTGGTGATGAAACATCTCCAAGAAAACCACTAAGTTCGGACAGCACCAAGGATCACACAAATTGATGTATTTTTTTAATTGTAATTGGGTTTGATATTTTTGGAGTTGTGGCTTAAATATATTTGTTTGGGGTTTTATTGCCATGAATGTTTTGTTTCTTTTATTTTTATTTTAGTTTATCCTCTTAGCATGGCGGTTTTGTTATATTTTATCTTACAAGATGCCAGGAGTGAGAAATATTCGGTGATATACAAATTTAATGAGATGTAATAAGTCATAATTTATAATTGTAATATTTTTGCTGCTAAGCTTACATCATCATGGAAAGTGTGTTATTTGGTTGAACTGAACATGCTTTATGTTAATTTTGTGAGCCAAGTAGCTGAGGAAGGAACACTTAAACCAGCACTGAATGTTGAAAAACATATCACATAATGCTATGGTAAATATGGTTGTAATGAAGTGTTTATAGTTGTCGTTGACTTTTTAAACAAAGTTATAACTGTATTTTCAGCCATCATAGTTTTGTCTGACTATTTAAATATCTTAAATTAATCAAATCTGTATTAGTGCAAAGTGTTTAGAAGGCATTTAATGTTATCAAAATTGTTTAATATAGATTTATTATTTAGCATAATCTATTATGAATTTAACAATTCTGTTAGTGTTTTAGTGCAAGTTAGTCTGCCTTCAGAATATGTTATAATAAGAAGCAGGGTTTTTCTTAAATCTCAATTCTGGAAACTTGAATCTTGTTTGTTAGTTTGTTTTCTAAATGTTTTTGGTCTTTGTTTCTTTCTCAGTTTGAAATGCTCACTGGTACTTTACCTTTCCAAGGTAAAGACCGAAATGAAACTATGAACATGATACTCAAGTAAGTATTTTTCTGTTCTGCTCCATTGCTAAGTATTTTTGCCAGTTAACAAAAATGGCATGCAGTACAGGTTATTGATACGATAAATTGATTATGAGGTTTCCCCTGCCCAAAATTCTTCATTATTTAAGCTGTTTGAAAATTTCACTATGGGCAAAAGTGAGTGGTTTTGAGATAGGATATTTTTATTTCAGGTTTTCGGGTTTTAATTAGTTTCAAAGTATTTATCAAAGCAAAGCAAAACTTTTGTTACTGCCTTCTCGTCCAGGAACCCTTACATAAAATTACATAAAAGTATTTATCCAGTTTTAAAATGGATGAAGAAAAAAACAAGCATTTGGCTTCATTCTTAGGACAGCGGTCCCCAATCTTTGCAGCCTGGTGTCTTGGCAATGGGGGAGGGAAGAGGGGAACCGACCATGCAAGGGGCAGGTCGGTACACCTGTGTATGAGTGCCAGCCCACCGGTCATGTGAGTGGAGCTGTACACTACCCTGCTGCTTGTGTGAGTTGAGCTGTGTGCACTGTGTGTGGGCTGATCCTCTTCTCACACAGCCCAGTTCTGTATAGGCCACAGCCTGGTAGTTGGGGACCCTGCCTTAGGATAACGCTGACAAATAAAGGATTTAGTAAATAAAGTTTAAATAAAGTTTTAAATAAATCATTGTCAACTCATAAAATATTTCTATGGTCTTTTTAGAGTTGCCAACAGAAAGGGAGGGGGGAGCTTGCAAACTGAAATTGCATTCCATAAATGGTTTTTCAAAGATAGTAACTAGGTAACTGAAGTTTCTGCCTCGCAAAATTCTAACTGGAGACCATGATTGATGACTCTTGGCTATGGATGTGTCCCATTGGAGAATATAAATTACGATACACCCAGGGGGTGGGGGGAAACCAGGGTCAAGGGTGACAATGAATTATGTGTCTCAGAGTTGGCTACACCCAGACAGTGCTGGATAGTTTTAACTCCCAATAAATCCTTTTTAAGTTTTGGAGTTTGGCTCGAAACTCATGATTTAAATGGGGGGTAACTGCTGGAATCCTGACACTCATGGTGTGGGTTGAGGAATGACTGGTGTCCTTTGTGCAAAATAGCCAGTAAAACTCCAGACAATAAACAAGATATAAATGTTATAAATTGATATTAACATCAGTGCCAATTTGGTCGCTAGAGTCAATGTTGATTTGAAGACAATGCGAGGTATCTTGGTGTAGTGATTCAAAGCATAAGGCTAGAAATGGGAGTCTGTGAATTCTAGTTTTCCTTAGGCATGAAGCCAGCTGAGTGACATCGGGCCAGTTACCCACTCTTAGTCCTAGGAAGAAGGCAGTGGTAAAGCATTTCTGAAATCTTGCCAAACCAATTGCGGGAGGGCTAACCCAGGCAGTCAATGATTTGAAGACATACACACATACACAGAAAGTTTGTTGATTTTATGCAATTTATAAAACTTAAATAATTTTTTAAAATAACTGAAAACTGATTTTTAGGACATGCAGTTTAGCTCTTCGAGCATTTAAAATGAATCTTGTATCCGTTTCATGTTTTCTGGAGTGTGATAATATAAAAGAATGGAGGATTGTTTTTAAGATGGTGCATACACAACTTTGGCTTTCCAGCTGTGTGAGGCTTTTGAGGCCTTGGGTTCTGCAAAGGGACATTTGATCTTATGGGAGATACTAAAGTGATTGGCAGGGAAATGGAATCTCTGGCTTTCCAGATGTTGATTATGGGAGGTGAGGTGATTTTAGTAATCATAACCAATAACCTGATGGTTGAATTATCATGTGGTGATGTATGAAAGATTTCCCAGAAAAAAATAACCTGCATACAATTCCATCAAAAAAGCAGACAGTTAAATCTTGTTTCTGAGCTGAAGAAAAGTGTAGTTAGAAAAATGAAAACTAAGGAAGATACTATATGTATTGCAAGATTGAAGCTGGCACCAAGAGTGCCATTTTTGATAAGCTGCTAAAAATGCACCTTTTTAGAATACTTAGTTAGAACAATAATTTCCTGTCTCTTCGAACAATCACTTGCGCAGTGGAAAACACATGTTCAAAGGCCCATTTAAGTCAATTGTTTGCATTTGATTTTTTTAATTAGAAAGCACTTCTTGAATCCAATTTTTTTTCTTTTCCCAGAGCGAAACTTGGAATGCCACAATTCCTGAGCCCTGAAGCTCAGAGTCTTCTAAGGATGTTGTTTAAAAGGAATCCTTCAAACAGGCTAGGTAAGTTAATCCTGCCTACGTCAGTCTTTCTTGAGGTGGAAATTTCCAGATGTTCTGGACCTTTACCTCAAAATACCACAGTCAAAGGATAAAGGAGAGAAATGCGTTAGTCTGCAACCTTGCAAAAACTCCAGGTTTGTGGATTGTGTTGTAGCATTTCATAACCTCCCTGATATAATCTATTATGGATAGTGTGTCTTGATTTTCAAGCTAATTTAGGAAAATGGCATATATAGAAGAAAGATAAGATAGAATTAGAAGCCATCTCTTCCCCAAAAAGCACATGGGTAGCTGTGATAATAGGAAACTCCAAAACACCACAGTGTCAAAACTAAGATAAGATAACAAATGTTGATATTATAGTTGGTCAGAGTCAGCCAGATGTTTAGACTGGATATGGCATTTCTATCCACCTAGCAAGTCATTGCCAAAGACCTGAGATAGGCAGGTGTTGTTATTATGACAACTATTATAGAGAATACTGCGGCTGAATATCTAAACATTCTTGTTTTTTTTGTTCAGAAATTCCTTTACATTAGCGTTGGTATAATTTACATTGTTGTTGTTTTTAAAAGAGCATTCCCTGACATTGAAAGTCTACAGAGAGATTCTCACTTCCAGATCATGATTGTCCCAAAAGTGCTTTTTCAAAAGGCAACTGGATTTTTCTTTCTTTCTTTCTTTCTTTCTTTCTTTCTTTCTTTCTTTCTTTCTTTCTTTCTTTCTTTCTTTCTTTCTTTCTTTCTTTCTTTCTTTCTTTCTTCCCTCTTTCTTTCTTCCCTCTTTCTCTCCCTTCCTCTTTCTTTCTTTCTCTCTTTCTTTCTTTCCTTCCTCCCTCTTTTTTCTTTCTTTTCTCTCTCTCTCTCTTCCTTCCTTCCTTCCTTCTTTCCTTCCTTCCTTCCTCCCTCCCTCCCTCCCTCCCTCCCTCCCTCCCTCATTCAAGAAGCTTCTTCAGACCTGAAGAAGCTTCTCAGATGAGAAGCAAAACATCTTCAAGGAAAAACAAAGAAAGTCCAGTTGCTTTTTGAAAGAGCACCTTTGGGTCTGTCATTGAAAACAGCAGTCACTTCCACTGCTTAAGCACTTGGGGCCCTTCTGTGGTTTATATTTCATTTGCAGTAGCATGACCGCGTAGACTGCAATCTTTTGAAGCTGACTTGCAATGCAGTGGAGAAAATGGGAAGCTGAAGCTTGGGAACTGGAAAGCGTTTCTTTTCAGTATTTGAAAAAATATTTCATTATGAATATATGGTCAAGGCAACTCAAAGCCAGGTGCAAACCTGCAGCTAGTGCCATCATAACAGCAACCTAAAATCCCAGGAGTACAATATATAATTAAAGTAAGATTTATCATGTGTATTCCTGGCACCAGGAGCTCTGCAACACTCAAGTTCCAAAGTCCTTCAAGAAGACCCAGAGTTTAACAAGAATAGAAGACCAGGAAAGTCAGAAGAGCAAATTCTTCTAGTGGAAGGGAACTCATACCAAGTAGATTTACTTTTAAAACCTTTTCGATTGATCGATGGGGACCTTCATCAGCATATGTCATTGTTGTTTGATTGGCAATCATGCTGTGCCTTGTGTTCCTTGAAATTATAGGGGCTGGTCCTGATGGTGTTGAAGAAATAAAGAGGCATCCCTTCTTTTCAACCATTGACTGGAATGTGAGTCTATGGAATAAATCTGTACTCAGGATACCATTCTCGTAAGGACTCAAGTTTAATATAATGCTTGACAACTCTTGCATTTTTTAATGTTGGGAAATACCTTGAGCAGGTAAAGCAAAAAAGCCAATACCACCTCCACCAAAGGGAAGAAAAAAGAAAGGAGTAGTGATGCTGCAATATTCTTCTTCTTCTTCTTCTTCTTCTTCTTCTTCTTCTTCTTCTTCTTCTTCTTCTTCTTCTTCTTCTTCTTCTTCTTCT